AAAAAAGAAAAAATATAGAAGGCGCCTTTTTTCCCTCCTTTTTAAAAAAGGCTCCCCTCTTAATCCATTCTGGTTAGGTGTCCTCGACCTTAGAGGATGCATCAAATATACCAGTGAGGGGGTTGTCTGGCTTTGAGTTTTTTTTTTTCTAGTCCCCTCTTTTATTTTAAACGGATGATTACTCCCCCTGTTGTTAACATGTTATCACCCTTGATTTTTTGTATAGGTGTGTTTGCTTATTTTTCCTGTGTGCGTGTGTGTGTGTGTGTGTGTGTGTGTGTGTGTGTATGTGTGTGTGTGTGTACTCGTGGTGGAACACCAAACCAATGTGCCAGGATCTGGACGATAAAGATGTATCTTATCGTATCTTATCTTATCTTATTCAGGCACTTGTCATTATTTGGCCATGTAGAGTTATGAGTAAAACTAAACGAAACTATTGTAAAAGATTATAAGTGATTTTTTAAAAAGATTGCAAGTTGTAAGACATATTTGAAAAAGATTGTGACAGATCAAAAAAGATTGAAAGTTGTAAGAAAAGATTGTAAAAGATTATGAGTGATAAAAAAAAAAGACTGCAAGTTGTAAAAGATTATAGTAAAAGACTGTGAGTGATTTTTTTTTTTTTTAAAGACTAAGTTGTAATTGAGCTTTTTTTTTATATAAAAGTTGTTTCGACTTGTTGCTAGACACAGACAGAGAGTCATAATATAATATGCATGTGTCATGACACAGTGGATTCAGGCACTTGTCATTATTTGACCATATAGAGTTATCAGTTATGAGTATCATGTGAAAGCTCATTCCTTTGCCTTGCTTTCGATTTAAAAAAGCACCCATCTATCTTGAATAGAAGTTCAGATATTTGTAATTGAAGGAGGTGGGGGGGGGGGGGTCTCATTGTTTCGGAGGTAAATTAAGTGAGAAAATGGCCGGTTTGCTAACTCCCATAGCTTGAAAGACCATGGAAACTAAAATATTACTTTTTTTGGGCCTTTAATCAATGTTTGTCTGCAAAATCCATTCAGAAATGTGTTTTTAAGTGAACGTAAAGGGTGCATTAGTCACTACAAGAAAATTTGAAAAAAACTGTCAGATGCCCAGAAAAACGCCAGTTTCTTTCATTTCAATAGTTTGATGAGCACCTGATTTCACCACGATGCCTCACATATAATTGTTAACTATTGTGAGTGATTAGAAAAGATTGAAGGTTGTCAGAAACTATTTAAAAGATTATAAGTGATTTTTTAATAAATTGCAAGTTGTAAGAAATATTTGTAAAAGATTGTAACAGATTAAAAAAGATTGAAAGTTGTAAGAAATGATTGTAAAAGATTATGAGTGATAAAAAAAAGATTGCAATTTGTAAAAGATTATAGTAAAAGACTGAGTGATTTTATAAAAAAGACTAAGTTGTAAGAGCTTTTTATAAAAGATAGCGAGTGATTTTTTCAAAAAGACCGCAAGCTGTAAGAAATTGTTGTAAAAGATTGCGAGTGATATAAAAAAAAGACTGCAAGTTGAAAGAAATGATTGTACAAGATTGTAAGTGATTTAAAAACAAGACATAAAAGTTGTAAAAAGTTGTAAGAAATTTTTGTACAAGATTGTGAGTGATTAAAAAAAAGACTGCAAGCTGTAAGAAATTTTTGTAAAAGATTGTAAGTGGTTTAAAAAATCACAAGTTGTTCCAAATTTTTGTAAAAGATTGTGAGTAATTATAAAAAAGAATGCAAGTTGTGAGAAATGATTGAAAAACATTGTGAGTGATTAAAAATAAGATTGCAGAGACACTAAGAACTGGACACAGTAACTTGTTACAATCATAACTATAACTGTATAGAGTTTATGCCCCCATTGCTTTCAAAATTGAGCTGAGCAGGATACGACATCCTAGCAGAAAGATGGACATACTCAATACTCCCCACCCCTCTTCCCTCCCTCCTCCAGGAATCACACTCATGTCTTCTGCGTGCGACGGCAAAGCACCTGATTCAACACAAATGCTAACAGAATATGCTCCTTCTATATTCTCCTTACATACAGGTGAAGAAATGGAAATGGATTGGACACACCCTGAGGAGACCCCCGACAAGCATCATCAGACAGGCTTTGACGTGGAATCAACAAGGAAAACGTAAGAAAGGAAGACCAAAGATGACATGGAGGCGAGCGGTACAAGAGGACATAGAAAAGGCGGGGACATCATGGAAACAGCCAGAAAAGGATGCTCATGACAGGCTTCGCTGGAAAAATGTTGTTGATGGCCTGTGCCCCACTGGGAGTTAAAAAGGGTAAGAGAGAGAGAGAGAGAGAGAGAGAGAGAGAGAGAGAGAGAGAGAGAGAGACAGAGAGAGACAGAGAGAGACAGAGAGAGACAGAGAGAGACAGAGAGAGAGAGTGAGAGGCAGAGAGAGAGAGAGAGAGAGAGAGAGAGGGAGAGAGAGGGAGAGAGAGATATTCTCCTTTCTTCTCCTTCCTGTATCCTCCTCTCTCCCATATCCTCCTCCTCTCCTCCCCTGACTCACCTCTCCTGTATAGACTTGATGAAGAGGTTGACGAACCAGCTCAGCGAGTACTAACTCACCTCTCCTGTATAGACTTGATGAAGAGGTTGACGAACCAGCTCAGCGAGTACTAACTCACCTCTCCTGTATAGACTTGATGAAGAGGTTGACGAACCAGCTCAGCGAGTACTAACTCACCTCTCCTGTATAGACTTGATGAAGAGATTGACGAACCAGCTCAGCGAGTACTGACTCACCTCTCCTGTATAGACTTGATGAAGAGATTGACGAACCAGCTCAGCGAGTACTGACTCACCTCTCCTGTATAGACTTGATGAAGAGATTGACGAACCAGCTCAGCGAGTACATGTACTAACTCACCTCTCCTGGATAGACATGATGAAGAGATTGACGAACCAGCTCAGCGAGTACTGACTCACCTCTCCTGTATAGACTTGATGAGGAGATTGACGAACCAGCTCAGCGAGTACTGACTCACCTCTCCTGTATAGACTTGATGAAGAGGTTGACGAACCAGCTCAGCGAGTACTGACTCACCTCTCCTGTATAGACTTGATGAAGAGGTTGACGAACCAGCTCAGCGAGTACTAACTCACCTCTCCTGTATAGACTTGATGAAGAGATTGACGAACCAGCTCAGCGAGTACTGACTCACCTCTCCTGTATAGACTTGATGAAGAGATTGACGAACCAGCTCAGCGAGTACTGACTCACCTCTCCTGTATAGACTTGATGAAGAGGTTGACGAACCAGCTCAGCGAGTACTGACTCACCTCTCCTGTATAGACTTGATGAAGAGATTGACGAACCAGCTCAGCGAGTACTGACTAACCTCTCCTGTATAGACATGATGAAGAGATTGACGAACCAGCTCAGCGAGTACATGTACTGACTCACCTCTCCTTTATAGACATTATGAAGAGATTGACGAACCAGCTCAGCGAGTACTGACTCACCTCTCTTGTATAGACATTATGAAGAGGTTGACGAACCAGCTCAGCGAGTACTGACTCACCTTTCCTGTATAGACATGAAGAAGAGGTTGACGAACCAGCTCAGCGAGTACATGTACTGACTCACCTCTCCTGTATGGACATGATGAAGAGATTGACGAACAAGCTCAGCGAGTACTGACTCACCTTTCCTGTATAGACATGAAGAAGAGGTTGACGAACCAGCTCAGCGAGTACATGTACTGACTCACCTCTCCTGTATGGACATGATGAAGAGATTGACGAACCAGCTCAGCGAGTACTGACTCACCTTTCCTGTATAGACATGAAGAAGAGGTTGACGAACCAGCTCAGCGAGTACATGTACGGACTCACCTCTCCTGTATGGACATGATGAAGAGGTTGACGAACCAGCTCAGCGAGTACTGATACATAGGGTCTATGTTGGGCAGCTCTGTGATGGAGAAGAACAGGACTGACGAGTGGTTGGCGATTGGTCGGTACCCCATCCGAGACACGTCTATCTTCTTCTGGGTCTCTTCACCAGCCTGGGGAACGGGGAGATTGGTCAAAGACTTTAAAAAATTGAAATTGTAGATGCCTTACTTATACCTCAGTTGACACAATTTCCATTGTGGGCAACCGTAGGGCACCACACACAAAGAAACCCCCACACACACGTACACACAATATCAACATAACTTACTTCCCTTGGAAGAATCAACAATGAGTCAAACAAAAAAAACCGTACTAACTATCCGCAAAGATCGTACATAACAAGATAGTTCACTCAGTCAAAAAAGTGTCCGCGGAAGTCCGCGCATTGGTTCAGATGGTTGCAGTCTTTGTTTTGAAGCTCTCTTTTGTTTCTCCAGAAGCAGAATAGGAATAGCACAGTTGATTAGTTTCACTTTTATTGTTTATCACACAAGAAGGTTAACTCTTATCGCAAAGTCCACTAAATTTGAGGACCCTTATTTAATTGGCTCAAAGAGAGGAGTGAGCTATCTTATTATGTACGATCTTTGCTATCTCTAATAACATTTAAAAGAACATCAAAAACACCTGATTACCTTTTGCTTTTTGGAAATTTCGTTGGACAGAATCTTCGAGGAGTCCAAGATTTCGATGGCGGACTCGTCCTCCAAGATGTTGCCCTCGGAGGAGCTCAAGGTGAACAGGATCTTGTCCTCGATCTCCTTCAGCTGCTTGCGGTTGGCCGCGCTCGTCACTATCAGGTTCTGGCGGGCTTCCTCGAGTTCAGGTCTGGGGGAGAGGAGAGAGAGATGGTACATCATTGTATGAGGGAGAGAGAGAGAGAGAGAGAGAGAGAGA